GAAACCCTCAGAGCCCCTTCCCCAGGCCCTGGTGGCCTCCAAAAACCTTCCCAGCCCCAGTGGAACCCTCAGAGCCCCTTCCCCAAGCCCTGGTGGCCTCCAAAACCCCCAGCCCCAGTGGAACCCTCAGAGCCCCTTCCCCAAGCCCTGATGGCCTCCAAAGCCCCCAGCCCCAATGGAACCCTCAGAGCCCCTTCCCCAAGTCCTGGTGGCCTCCAAAACCCCCAGCCCCAGTGGAACCCTCAGAGCCCCTTCCCCAAGCCCTGGTGGCCTCCAAAACCCCCAGCCCCAGTGGAACCCTCAGAGCCCCTTCCCCAAGCCCTGGTGGCCTCCAAAAACCCCCAGCCCCAGAGAAACCCTCAGAGCCCCTTCCCCAAGCCCCAGTAGCATCCCCAGGACCCTTTCCTTGCCCCCCCCCCTGCACTAGGGGCTGGTAGGAAACAAGTCCCATCCCCAGTCCTCATCACCAGCTGATTCCTGGTGTTCCCTGGTGCTGGTGACCAGAAGTTCTCTGGTTCTTCTCCCCTTTCCCCTGGGTTGGCTGTGGAAGAGCTTTGGTTGGGTGGGAGAAGGTGGAGAAGGAAGGTTTGTCCCAGGAGAGATGGGTGTGTTGATGTGTTCATGTCTTCAGGGGGGGAGAAAAAAAGAGCTAACCTGTTTCTCAGACACTTGTGAGAACAACAGGAGCAAGGAACTGCTCTTCTGGGGTTGTGTCCCAGCACCAGGAAGGGAAAGGGAGTGAATGTTGTCCCAGCTCCTGCTCAGAGGGGGAAGGAACGTGGTGTTTGTTCACCTGGCTGGGCTGGGCACAGGGAGGGTAAAACTGCTGCAGGAACTTGGTGGTTGAGTCCCAGTGCTCAACTGGAGACTGGCCTGGAGTTCTTTGATCTGCCTCGTGCCTCTGATTGCAATTAAAAGGATTCATTTCAGTTGGGGTGACTCCAACCCAGCCCCTGGTGGTCCCACCAGGAGAGGTTTGTGGTGGATGCCAGGCTGCTGGGATGGCAGGAGAGCTGCCTCTGGTCCCTCTGGCTTCTGCAGTGTCCCCTGCCCTGGCTGTGACAAGTGTCCCCTGCCTGTCCAGCCCCCTGTGCTGGCACCCACAGCCCACCCACCCGTGGCACCTCTGCTCCCTGCAGCAAAACCCAAGGTGGCCAAGGAGCTGCAACCTCCTCCTGGCCAGGAGTGCAATGGTAGGAACAGGGTTCCTATATGGGATGTTGCTCAAACCCCTTCTTATCCTGGAGGATTTGGGATGGCCCTTCTGGTGCTTTCCTGCTTGGTGTGTCCTGGGTGGGCTTTGGAAAACCCACCCCCACTGTGAGCAGAGCCCCCCCGTGGCTGCTCTTCCCCTGGGCTGTTTTGGGGCCACCCAAAGCCCCCCTAGGGTGGGGGGTGCTGAGCTCAGGGTGCTTGGGGGTGATGGTTCTGCTTGGGGCTGGGGGACCCTCCCAAGGACCTCTGTGTCCAGCCCTGACCAGGTGAGATCTGTGCCCCTCTGCTCCTGGCTCAGCTGCTCCAGAGCTGGGAAAACATTCCCATTCCAGAGCTTTTTTTCACTTGGGGGGTCCAGTGGAGGTTTCAGGCTGGAAGGAGAATTGCTGCTGAGTGGCCTGGGTGACCAGGGGATGGCATTTGGAGTGAGGAAGGTGTCCCTGCCCATGCAGGAGGTTTGGAGTCCCTTCCAACTCAGACCAGTCTGGGACCAGTCAAAGACCCCGGGGGCTGTGTCTGCATCTCCAGCTTCTCTTTGCTATGGGGGGAAAGGACATTTTGCTCCTGTGCAACCTGAGTTTCCTCCTTCCAGTGCCCAGAACAGACCAGGTGCTGACCAGGGATCACCTGAGTGATCAGGGCACCTGAGTTCTAGCAAGTGAAGGGTAAAAAGGAAAACCAAGCAGTTTTTATTGTATTGTGCAACCCCATCTTGTCGGGGAGTCTGTCCACACCCTTTATTGAGCTTTATTGTTCCTCTGCTTGGTTGGTTCCAGGTATTTCAAGTGTGCTCATTAAGAAAACCCCCCAAATATCAAATTGGTTGAGGATGAGCTGGGAACTCGTTGCCTACCCGGGGCTGGAGAGGAGGAGCATCTTGAGATGCAACTCACTTCAGAGCAGCTGACACTGGATGTCACCATTGGACAGCACAAACCCCATGGCAGGAGCTTGGGAATTTCTCCTCCTTGGGAGAGGAAAAACCTGAGCTCCTGTCTCCCATCTGGCTAATTTGGGGTTCCTCCTGAACCTGATCCAAACCAGTTCCAGGCTGGTGCAGGGAGGGAATTCCCTGCTTGCTCTGGGATGTCGTGGGACCGGGTTTGCTTTGCAAACTTTGCAGGTGGATGAGAAAAGTTTTGGGTTGTTCTCAAACCCCACCAGTTTATCCCTGGTTTCCTGAAATAATGGAGGGTTGGGGTGCAGGCTGCCAGTAAAAAAAGGGGTTGAAATCTTCAGGGAAAAGAATGTGTGAAGATCTCTCATCTATTCAAAGAAAATACCAAGTGTCTGCATTTTTAAATTGAGGGGTTTTTTTTTAGAGGTCCTTAAGGTTTGGGGCACCAGTGCCTGCTTGGCTCCAGCCAGGGGGTTAAATGGGATGGAAGCATGGAATTCCAGCCCTGGGGAATGAAACAAGCCCCTCTCTTCTCTCCCCTGCCCAGAGCAGAGACCTGCCCGGATCGTGATGACCACCCTGCTGCTCACAGAGCAGCTCACACGAGAAGACCATGGCCCAGAGGGGACCTACACCCTCTATGGATCCTCCTGCTCCCAAATCACTGAGGAAGCTGAATACATGAAAAAGGTATTTCTGAACTCCTTGTTCCTGCCTTTGCTCCAGCAGCAACACCAGTAACCACTGGGAGGGAAAACTCTGAGCTGTGGGGCAGCTCATTAGACATTGACCCCAGAAATGCCACTTACTCCTTGTAGCCACAGCAAGAAGGTTCAGCTCTGCAGTGAGAGGGTGGCAGCCTGGCTGGTGAGCAGGTGGTTATGGAGCTAATGGTCATCCTGGGTCCAGCAAAGGTCCATCCAAGGTTTGTCCTATGGCAAGGAGAGTGAATGACCTTGTGGTTGGAGCATCTCTGCTTGCTTTGCATGCAAAGACTCAACAGCCAGAAAAGTGTAGGATGGACTCTTTGTACTTGAAAAACCCAATAAAAATCATGTGAGGGGTGATGTATTAAAAATACCTTCTCTAAGGCTGCTGTTCAGCCTCCTGGGCAGGTTGGACATGGTGCTGGTGGTTCCTCCTAATCCACCTGCAAGTCTTTCTTTGATGGCATCAAGGCTGAGCTGTAGGGCTGGGTCTGGTCCCTGGGAGAGATGAGGAAGCTCTGGAGCAGTGAGGAGTCTAATTGGAAGCAGAAGAGAAGGTTTGAGGATCAGGACCTGGGGAGGTGGAGGTGGGACAAGCAGGTCCTGGAGTGGAGCACAGAGCACAGCAGCTCTGAGGGGTGGGAAACCCTCTGAAGATGGGTCCTTTTCTGAAGGTCCCATGCAAGGGCAGTTATTCTGGAGAGCAGAGGGGGAGGATCAGGAGGCTGGAATAAAACCAAATGGCTTAATTAGGATCTAATCAATCCCAAGCAGCTCTTTTGAAGAAGCACCTTTCTCTGCTCAGTTGAGGAATGAGGTTGGAGAGAAGGGGGGGGGGGGGGGGGGACACAAAAAAAAGGTGATTTATGGTTTTGCACCTTCTGAAAAGCACAGGGTGCCCTTTGTTTGTGGTGGTGTCTCTTAAAGACATGAGCTTGGTGTCAAGTGGGAGAGGTGGCCCAGATGTTGGTGTGTCCTGGCCCAGATGTTGGTGTGTCCTGGCCCAGATGTTGGTGTGTCCTGGCCCCATCTGACCTGCTGCAGGTCACATCCCAGCTCCCAAAGCAGCACACGTTGGAGAACAGTGGGGAGGGGATGAAAAAAGCAGCTTAAAACCACTTGATGCAAGTGGGTTTGAGCAAAGCAGCAGCTCCCTGGGGTGGGAAAAGGTTTGGGAACCTGTCCCAGCAGTGAAAACAGCCTGGAGTAAAAAGTGAAGGGGAAGTGTTGGAGAAGGTTTCTTTGGTTCTGCTGCCTCAGCTCCCTGTGACTTTGCTGGAATATTGGGAAAGCCAAGGAATCCTCCAGCCCTGGAGTTGCTCTGCTGGGGGTGGAAGAGACTTGCAGGTGGGAATTGAGATGCAAATGTTTTCCAAGGAGAGCTGGACAAGATTTTGGTTTCAATCGATGGGAGGAGGAGCAGGGCTGGGGCTGCCCCTGGAGCAGCTCAGCTGGGCTCCTGGGGCTGCTTTTCTCTCCCTAAAACCCATCATTTCCAGCTGCTTTTCCTGTCTCAGCTTCCTGGAGGTTCAGGCCACGAAGCTGAGCCCAAGAGCAGCAGCTGGAGCTGCAGCCCAGTCGGGAGGAGGGTGATGGAGACAGAGGAGCAGCTGCTGGTGGTGAGCAGGGACAACCAAGTGCTGAGGATCAAGGTGAGTTTGGGGTGGTTTTTGGTGTTTCTATGCCTTTATAAGTGGCTGGGAGTGCATCTCTCCTTGTAAACCATCCTCCTTGGGGGTAAGGGGGGAGTCTGAAGGTGAAATGGTGACATGAGGTCCTGCCAAGGGGGCTGCTCCTTCCACCTCTGATTGTGAACATCACTTGGGTTTTCAAGCCCCACATCCACGTGTTGTGCAATGACTCTTTCCAGCTGGAAGCCACGAGAGAAGCAGGGGTTCAGGCCCTCAGATCTGCCTCCCAGAAGCTGTATGAGACTTACCAGAGTTGGGCAGAAGGCCTGAAGAAAAGCCACGAGAAGGAGAAGCAGCAGCTCCAGGTACAGACCTGACCCTGGGTGGGCATCACCACCCTGGGCAGGATGGGAACACTGATGTGGGCTCTGGCTCCCTGGGCTGCAAACTTGGACCTGGGGGCTGCTGAGTCTCTTCTGCTGGTGCAGTGGAGAAGTCACAGAAGGAAAACTACCAAGTAGTTTAGTTTTATTCCTGATTCTTGGAATGAGGGTTCCTTAAACCATTGTGACAGCCCTGACTCCACTGTGTACACCAGCTCCCAGCACTAATTCCTGCCCTGGTCCTAGGCTTACAAACTCCAACAAGAAGAGAAGCTCCAGGAAAGCATGGGGAGCACCAGCCACCTCAGCCAAGGGCTCCAGGAAAGATCTGCCCACATAGCAGAGCTGGAGAAGCGAGTGCAGAGGATGGAGGAGGTAGGTCCACCCACTCCTCCTCTCCATCTGTCCTGGGTGAGGAGCCTGCCCTGGCAGTGCTGGCACTTGGGAAGAGGAGATCCAGAGTTGGAAGGGATCACCTGGTCCAAGATCACCTAGTCCAAGCCCCTTGGCAGAGCAGGATCATCCACAGCAGAACAGAGAGGAACCCATCCAGATGGGTTTGGAATGTCTCCAGAGCAGGAGATGCCACAGCCTCCCTGGGCAGCCTGTCCCAGGGTTAAGCACCTTCAGGGGTTGGGTTCTGTTAACTGTTGGAATTGGGAATCAAAAGGCTTTGGCACACCAAGCTGAGGGGCTTTAGCTGTGGGTCAGACAAGCAATTGGGGTTCCCTCCTTCAGTCATTTCAGTTGTTACAAACTGTGGAGCACCAGGGAGAAGACTTGATGTGTAGCTACTGGTTCCATCTGCTCCTAAGGAGCTGCCCTTCCACCTTCCCCCGTGGGTGCACGTCTGGTGTTTGATGTGAAAATGGGCCATCCTAGTGCTCAAACTGCTCCTTCTTCACTCACTGCTTCATGGGAAGGGTTGTCAGACGTGGGTTGAGTCTCCATCCCTGGGTGTGTTTAGAAGTCATCTAGATGTGGTGCCTGGGGACCAGGGCTGGGCTTGGGAGAGCAGGGTTGATGGTGGGACTCGATCATCTTGAAGGTCTTTGCCAACCTCAGTGATGCTGTGATGCTGTGCCTTGTTTTCCTGGTGTACTCACCAGCAGTGGGAATTGCTCCCATATCAGTGGGAATTGCTCCCACATCAGTGCAGGGGTTGGATCTAAATGACCTTGAAGGTCCCTTCTGTGCTTCCATGATTTTCCCCTCCATGCTTTTGAGAGGTGGCAGCAGCAGCTGCTGAGCAGGGACTCTCACAAGGCCTGAAGATTGTTGCTAATGAAGTCAAGAACCTGGCATTTTAAGAGAGTTTGGACTTTTCTCATGGGCAGTTTGTACTGTCACCCCTCCCAGACTGGATTCAGAGAGGTCAGACTGGTTTGTGTCCATAGCTGCTGGTGGCCTTGGGGGGTTAGTGCTGGGTCCTGTGTTCAGGCACAGGATGGAACCACTGAAGGTGCAGCCCAACTTCTCCTGGCAGGGAATGGTTTTGTTACTTGTTTCCTTAGGAAAAGAAAAGTCTGCTGGAGAAGAAGATGTCATTTGAAAAGATGCTTCAGCAGATGATGGGGAGGAGTGAAGATGGCAAGAGGTGAGAGCAAATGCAGGGGATCCAGTGCTTTTTTTGTTTGCTTCTGGGACACGATTTCACGTGAGGTCCCAGGTCATCACTTGCTCAAGGTCCTTCTGGCAGGAAAATCCTTCATGAGGAAAGTGGCTGGTTCAAAACCTGATTTCCTGGGGCTGCTTGAAGAAGCCAAGACAGGTGCTGGTGGCCTCCAGCCCTTAGATGTTGATCCTCCTGAGATCCCTAGTGTTTTCCCTTCCACTTTGCATGCATGGATTGCTCCCCTTTCCTGATTTAGTCTTCAGGAATTTATTTAAAGGCTTGTAAGGGTCCTCCTGTCAGGCAAAGTGTCTCTCACACTATGGTTGGGTTTATTCTGCTCAAGAATGAAGCCTTCACAGCTGGATTCCAGCCACATGTCCTCAGGAGCACCTTCAGCAGGGAGCAGCTCTGGAGCTGCCCCTGAGGTGGGAAAGGTGGGCCAGGGATCCCTGGGGATGACCCTGGGGTGCTCTGCTCTCTCCCACAGGTGCCTGGATCTCCAGAGGCAGATTTCCACCCTGCAGCAGCAGATCTGCCACCTGCAGCTCCTGATCCAGGGGCAGCACCAGGCCCTGCGTGGTGTCATCCAGGAGGTCAGCCTGGGTCACTGGGAATGTTCTGGGAAGAGAAATGGGAGATACTGGGAGGTGGGCTCTTGCCTTCAGTGTGTGTGGTGGGGTTGAGCAGCTGAGTGTGGCTGGAGGTGTTGAAAAGCCATCTAGAAGTGGGGCTGAGGGACATGGTTTCAGCACTGGACTTGGTAGAGTTGGGTTCATGGTTGGTAGAGTTGGGTTATGGTTGGACTCAAGGATCTTAGAAGGTCTTTCCCAAGCAGAACAGCTCTGTGACTCAGACAACTTTAAGAGGGTTGGATGTTAGGGGAAACTTTGTGACAGAAGGTGCATTAAAGGTTTATTAAGCACTGGTTTGGGCTGCCCAGAAAAGTGGTTGGATGACCAGCCCTGGAGGGGTTTAAAAGTCTTTTAGCTCCAGTGCTTAGGGGGCTGGTAGAGCTGGGTTGGTAGAGTTGGGTTAACTGGATGATCTTACAGGTCTTTTCCAACCTGAATGGTTCTATGATTGTATGGAAATAGCATCCCTAAATTAGGGTGGTGGAGTCAGGGCTTTCAAGCAGCCACCTGAGGTAGCTCCCATGTCTCTGTAGGTGCCACCAACAGGCAGACCTGTTATCCTAAGGACAAGGTGACACAAGGTGCTGAGAAGTTGCTTTATAAAATGGGTCAATCCATCAGTTTGAGTTTCTCTATGGGAAAAGCCCAGGGCCTCAGTCTGTGGCTCCCCAGGGGTGGTGAGATGTTTCACTGGGTGGTTTTGTTGGGACACCAAAAGGCCTGTGAGGAACCCAGCTTTCAAACTGCTGACAGACTTCATTTCCTCACTGGGCAGGCAGAGGAACTGAAGAACCAGCTCAAAAGCCACGATGAGAAAATAGAAAACCTGACAGAGAAGCTGACCATGCTGGAAGCTCAGGTAGGACCAGAAAGTCAGGAGACACATGGAAGGGAAGAGCACAAGCAGGTCAACTTCACCCTGCTGGGCTGGTGTCCATGCAGCACTGGGGGCTGGTGGTTCTTTGCACTGCATGTTTCAGTTTAAAAACCAACAAAAGCCACCAAAATTCCCCCCCAGACCCTTTCTGGAGGAGCATCAGGTCCCAGGTGGCACCCAGGCTTGTCTCCTGTCTGCTGTGATGGACTGAGAGGGGGTTGTTTTCTTTTCCTCATTGCAGAACAAAGAACTGAAAGATCAAGTGGAGCTGTGGTCAGGCCAGCCCAAGCCAAAGGTTTCAAGAGCTGTCTGGACAGAGTAGGTGGCTCTGGTGGGGTTTGAGGGGGCAGTCAGGCTCTGCTGGGAGCCCCCACACCTCATCCTGCTTCACCACCAAGGCAGAGGAAGCCCAAGCTCTGCTCCTGACTTGGTGCTGCTGGTGTGATGGTGGTGGCCCAAGTCTTGGCTCCCCAGGAGCTCTTCAGCACATCAGGCAGGAGTCCCTGCAGGAGGCTGAACATCCCTGCAGGGTTCCATGGGATGCCATTTCCTGGGAACCTTTCTTTGCTCTGGTAGGTCTGGATGCCAAGCTCTGCTCCCAGTGAGCTGAAGAGCTGTTTGCAGTCAGCTTCTCCCTGTCCAGGGCCATAGTTACCAACCTCTGAGGTTCATGGTTGGTAGAGTTGGGTTATGGTTGGACTCAAGGATCTTAGAAGGTCTTTCCCAAGCAGAACAGCTCTGTGACTCAGCCAACTTTAAGAGGGTTGGATGTTAGAGGAAACTTTGTGACAGAAGGTGCATTAAAGGTTTATTAAGCACTGGTTTGGGCTGCCCAGAAAAGTGGTTGGATGACCAGCCCTGGAGGGGTTTAAAAGTCTTTTAGCTCCAGTGCTTAGGGGGCTGGTAGAGCTGGGTTGGTAGAGTTGGGTTAACTGGATGATCTTACAGGTCTTTTCCAACCTGAATGGTTCTATGATTGTATGGAAATAGCATCCCTAAATTAGGGTGGTGGAGTCAGGGCTTTCAAGCAGCCACCTGAGGTAGCTCCCATGTCTCTGTAGGTGCCACCAACAGGCAGACCTGTTATCCTAAGGACAAGGTGACACAAGGTGCTGAGAAGTTGCTTTATAAAATGGGTCAATCCATCAGTTTGAGTTTCTCTATGGGAAAAGCCCAGGGCCTCAGTCTGTGGCTCCCCAGGGGTGGTGAGATGTTTCACTGGGTGGTTTTGTTGGGACACCAAAAGGCCTGTGAGGAACCCAGCTTTCAAACTGCTGACAGACTTCATTTCCTCACTGGGCAGGCAGAGGAACTGAAGAACCAGCTCAAAAGCCACGATGAGAAAATAGAAAACCTGACAGAGAAGCTGACCATGCTGGAAGCTCAGGTAGGACCAGAAAGTCAGGAGACACATGGAAGGGAAGAGCACAAGCAGGTCAACTTCACCCTGCTGGGCTGGTGTCCATACAGCACTGGGGGCTGGTGGTTCTTTGCACTGCATGTTTCAGTTTAAAAACCAACAAAAGCCACCAAAATTCCCCCCCAGACCCTTTCTGGAGGAGCATCAGGTCCCAGGTGGCACCCAGGCTTGTCTCCTGTCTGCTGTGATGGACTGAGAGGGGGTTGTTTTCTTTTCCTCATTGCAGAACAAAGAACTGAAAGATCAAGTGGAGCTGTGGTCAGGCCAGCCCAAGCCAAAGGTTTCAAGAGCTGTCTGGACAGAGTAGGTGGCTCTGGTGGGGTTTGAGGGGGCAGTCAGGCTCTGCTGGGAGCCCCCACACCTCATCCTGCTTCACCACCAAGGCAGAGGAAGCCCAAGCTCTGCTCCTGACTTGGTGCTGCTGGTGTGATGGTGGTGGCCCAAGTCTTGGCTCCCCAGGAGCTCTTCAGCACATCAGGCAGGAGTCCCTGCAGGAGGCTGAACATCCCTGCAGGGTTCCATGGGATGCCATTTCCTGGGAACCTTTCTTTGCTCTGGTAGGTCTGGATGCCAAGCTCTGCTCCCAGTGAGCTGAAGAGCTGTTTGCAGTCAGCTTCTCCCTGTCCAGGGCCATAGTTACCAACCTCTGACTTAGTTCACATCTAGTTGTGGTGGGTTTAAGCCTGGTCACCTTGGCCTTCTTGTGTTTCTGCAGCACCCCAGGAGGTTCTGGAGCTTTTGGAGCACCCTCCTACCTGATGCTCAGCAGGCTAAGGAAGCAAGAGAGCTAAAGGAACGATTGGGTATTTCACTCCTACCTTTCTCAGAAGGATTTCTTCTGCCTGTGGCAACCTCCAACTCCTCTGGCCTCTGTGTGACTGTGAAGCACCTTCTGTGCATCCTGGAGCTGTGCTGCAGAGCTGCCCTTGCCAGGATAAACCTGGACACGAGGCAGGAGCTGGGAAGAGAGGTGCTGAGCTCCTGAGGGCCCACACAGCTCAGAAAATGGAAGGCAACCACATCTAGGACCAGCTCTGTGCCTGCCCTGGTGTGGGCAGCAGCAGGAACCTGCCTGAACCAAGGGCTCCCACCCACCCAGACTTTCAGCAGAGACTCATTTACCTGCAACTCATTTAGGTAAGACCATAAAATGAACCTCTCTGGCTTACCTGGCACCTTGGTCCAGGGTTCTGCCCACGTTGGTGGGGGTGTGGAGTCCCACTCCCCAGGGGAGTGACAGTGGCTCTGTGACCATGGCCCTGGTGTGTCTTCTCCTCCCTGGCTCCCAGATAGAGCAGCCTTTGGGGAAACCAAATAAAGGTGCTGATCCTTAAATGAGGCTTAAAAGTACTAAGTTCCAGTTTGTTCCTTTTCTTATCTGACCTTGGGCAGGTGATTCACGTGTGGTGTCACTCTGGGGTTAGCTGGGCTAAGGTGGAAATCAAAGCTTGGGCTCAGGCAGGGGGTGCTGGGCCTGCTGGGGTAGCCTCAGCCACCCCTGGAGAGGATGAGCTTTGGAAATGGTGTCACTTCCCTGCCCCAGAGGGACAAGGAGCTGCTGGGCAGGCCTTTCCCATCCCTCCTGGGAGATACTGAGCTCAGCTGGGACTCAGGGGGGGCCAGTGTTGGGATGTGCCCCGCTTTGAGGCAGGGCAGGACCTGTTTTCTTCCTAGTAATTTGGTTTTTCAAGCTGAGGCTCTTCTAAGTAGCTGCACTGAAATGAATGGGGTGGTTTTTTAGTGGCTCCTTCTAGGACTGATACTGGTTAATGTTTGTAGTTAGTGCTGGAGGATGGTACAGAGAGCCAAGGTGCTGCTTGGCTCTGAAAAACACTCCAAAAGCAGAAGGGAGTGCAGGGGTCATACCTGCCCACCCTCCCATGAGCAAAACTCACCCCAGGATTCCTTTCCATGTGGGTCATGCTCAGTATAAACTGGAGGGGTCCCAGGGGTCAAGGTGACTTGATCCACACCCAGTGTCCTGGGAAGATTCTGTCCATTCATCTGCCTTTAATCATGTAATCCTGCTCGTGCATTCCTGAATCCCTGTGTTCCTGCATCCAGCTCCTGGCTGTGGCTGACTCCAGGAGCCCAGTCTGGGACTGCCCTGCAGCCCTGACTGTTGCTGGGGAGGAGATGACAGTGGCTTTGTATATTTTTGTACCTATTTCATGATTCTCCTTTCCCTCCCTGCTGTTCCCTTGAAGCTGAGCAGTTCAGTTCCCAGCCCTGTCAGTCCCTCTCCAGGGAAAGGGAGGGGGGTTAATGGCAGCAGGAAAGGACTGACAGATGCTCCAAGGGGCAGGCTGAGTGCTGAGGGTTGCAAACACCCCCCCAAGCACCCCTCATCCAGGCTGGGGAGCCCTGTCCTTCCTTCCCTGCCCCTCCACTTGTTTCCCTCAGCTGCCCAGGCTGCGGAAGGAGGCTGCACCTCGGGGGAGCAGCCTCTGCTTTCCCCCCCCAAACCAGCTGCCAGACAGGACTGAAAAAATGTACTTTTATTCTGAAAAGAACAGTGCAGAAACCGAGTCACAGGCCGTGTTACACAAACCCAACACCAGGCAGGCAGGGACAGGATGTTCTGAAGCCACAGGTACTCGGGTACAGCAGGAACGCAATGGGCTGGTCGGGGGGGGGCCTTAAAGACCCAAAAAGGGTCTATTTGTGGGCAGTCACACTCAAGAGCAACAAGGCACAGCAGAGATCTGTTGGAGACAAAGCAGAAGACGTGCTCACAGCAGCAGAACAGAAGGGAACACTCCAAAGGTGGTGGTGGTGGATCCAGAGGCTGCTGAAGGGTTGAGCTGGAAGGTGAACGACGCCCCGACAAGAAGAACCGTTTCACCTCCAGCAGGTGGGTAAGACACAACAGGCTGCTCCTCATTCACAGCTTCTCCACTCAGCCCTGGGGCACCAAGAGGATGGACAACCTCAGGGTCTACTTGCTCAAGTTCTCTTTCACCTAGGGAACCCAAGCACACAGCCAAAGGGCTGTTCCCTGCTGCCTTTTAGATGGGAACAAGAAGCAATGAGGAGCAGATCTGCCCAGCATCAGTCCCAAGTCCACAGCATCCTCTGGGAAATAAAAAACAACCCAAAACTTACCCTATTATGGCTGTGGGGTTTTTTTTTGGGGGGGACTGATGTTTAAAACTTGATGTTTAAAGTAGAAGAATGATTAAGACAGGAAAGATGCTGTGAAGATTGGGCTTTCTTTTAATAGGTGCCTCAAACCAGGTCTCCTACCAGGTAAAAAGCTGCTTCTTTTTTTACAGTTCCAGCACTTTTTCTCCCCTCTTCTCTTTGTAAGGAAGATCAGAGCATGGTCTGAAACTCCTGCAGGGTTCATACCTGTATAAAAATAGCAGTCATTTCAGGTGATTTTTACACTTGCTACTTTTCTTCAGCTATTGTAGAATACAAATTGTAAAATAACAGCTCCAGATTTAATCTTTTTTCTTTTAGTTTAGGCTGAAAACATGAATTATCTCCACAGACTGAAATAGTTCCAGGAGACAAAACTTCTTACCTTGGAACCATCCCAAAGAGTCCCTGTGGAGCAGGTATCAAAGTCCCATCTTCTACAGCTTTGAATGAACCTTCTCACCTGATGCAGCCCTGGAGGATGTACATGGAAGGATGACAACCCTTGGAATGTTCATGAAGATGCAGCCTCCAGAAACCAGCTCAGGCAAGTGGTTTTTCTGGAGCTACCAAGGCAGCAAGGAAACAGCAGCTGCTCTCAAATGTCTTTTGCTCCATCACACCCACTGCCAGCCTCAGCTCTGTGAGCAGTTCAGCCAATTCCCTCTTCTTCTTCCCTTCTGGTTCCTCCTCAAAAACAACACACATGACAAGCTGAGCACAGATGAGAAAATCTCCTGAACTGAAAGGGGATGCTTAGATGATTGTGAAGCCACTTCCTGGCCCCAGGACACCTCCAACCCTCCCAGGCTGTGCTGCCTGTCAGCAACCAACCTGGGAAGGACCTGTGGGGAGTGTCTGCTTGAGTGTCTAAAATCTGCACTGAGGAACAGGCATTGATCCTCTCCTGGCCTTGTTTGTTGTTTTTTTTTTGGTTCATGGAATCATCTTCATAGTTGGTTCAGTGGAATCATCTTCCTGACTCCTCCAGGTGTTACCCACAGGCTGTGAGTTCCAGAAATGTGGCAGTTCATGAATGGAGCAGCAACACCAGACTTGGGCAATGCAACAGGTAAGGGAGACACTTCTGGCATCAAGACAGACCTGCAGGTGGATGGAAGGATCTGCAACCAGGGCATCACTGCAGTGCCTAGAAACTGGGAGGACAAAAACCACCTGCAGATCAGGAGGAAGAGCCCAAAGGATGTTGTGTATGTGAGTGAACTGGGAAGTGCCAAGAGGATTAAGGGAACAGGTTCAACAAGAAGTCAGGTAATTTGAATGGTCTTGGAGAAAAGGAAGGCAAAATGATCCTCAGCATGAGGTCCTACAAGTGGCAGCTCTGAAGGGTGGGTATTGATTACCCTCCTCTCTGTCACTGACTGTCCAACTCCAAAATCACCACAGGCTGTGCCAAAAAAGCCTGCAGCAAGAGCACTTTACTGGAGAGATGCTGGAAAACTGCAATAAACTAAGTCCAGAAGGACACAAAATGAGTCCTTGAGAAACCAGTGCCTGGACTGGAATTGAAGCCAAGAGCCCACAGGGCTAGAGGTATCACCCTGGAGAAGTCAAGGATCCCAGGACCTCCCCTCCAGCCCTGCTGAAGGATATCTAAGCAGGTTTGCAACCACATTGTGATAGTGCTCAAAAGCAAATGCCTCAAAAGTTCAAATGCACATAATCGAATCCTGAATTCAACTGTTGCTGGCATGGAGTGATCTGTGGATCTCACCAGAGATGTGGATTGAAAGCAACTTCATTTCCTAGCCTAGTCTCCTGGAAGAATTGCTAGGACTGAGGGTGTTGAAGTGAAACACTTGGAGTGGTTGGAGGGAGAAAAGGATGGGAAGAGGATCCGTGGCTCCAGCTAAGGGGACAGTTGGAAGGAAAAATGGAGCAAAAGCCAAATGATGATGGAGAGGGGGCAGAAGGTGGTTTTCAGTCAGAGCTCATTAGCTAGTTTCTTGCAGAGAGGTGACCTGATAAACAACAAAGGTTGTCTGTAACCTTTTAGAATCACTTCTGTTCCTGTTACTTTTACAGCCAAGAGCTACTCCAGCAAAGGAAACATGTTGCAACTTCTCTTCCTTTCCTCCAAAGTTTTGATGGCAAAATCCTTTTGGGAAAGTAGTTTCACATGCATTCACAGCTTCTTTTTTTTTTTAATTTAGAATAATAGTAAGTTTGTTGTCTTAGCAAATATATAAATACAAACCAAGCAATGGCATTTTGATTACAGTTATTTCCTTTCCATTCCTCAACAGAGCCCTCAAGCAACACTGGGCTGTGAGGAGAGTTTACAAGATTGTATCCTTATGGAACATCCTTATCCTTACCCAGAGCTCCCTGGTTATGGATTGCCAGCTCTGACAACTGTCACTGAAACTCAGAGGCAAGGTCAGGAGAAATCCCCCTGCAGACCAAGCTGTTCTGGGTATCACTGCTGTGCTGTTTTATTTTTTAATTATTATTATTTTAAGAATGTTAATTCCAGCAGGTGGAGAGAGAAACAGAAGCAGCTGAGCTTCCTATCAAAGTGCTTTGAAACGAGTGCCAGGGCTGGGGTTTTTACACACCTTTGTGTGAATCATCTGTCTGCTCCTGCAGACACTTTCAGTTGTGTAGGAGCTCTTAGACAGGCTGCACTTGAGCTGCTCTGGGAAACATGTTTTGCTTGACTGTTGGTGATTCCCTATTCTCACCAACACCTTTCACTCCTGTTTAACAGACAAATCTGATGCCACAGAAGGAGATAATTTCTCTCCAAGTGAGCCAGGGAGCTCCTGAGATCATCCCTGGCAGGAATTCAAGACATAACACAATTCATGATTTTTTTTTCATGATATGTATTAAAAAGCAACACAACTTCAAAGAAAACACTGAACTCCCAGGCTAAGTATCTCAGGTAACTGCAGAACCTCTCTGTGTATCAGCCTGCTTGCTTTCTCTTTCCACCCAGGACATTTCCTGCTGCCTACCACAACAGCTTTCCCACCTCTCCAGGGGTCAGGGCTGATCAGGACCTGCTGCACAGGATTCACTATGTCCAGCCTTTAGATACAGCCCAGTACTTAGAGAACCTGCACAGCCTATAGGTTAGATCTCTGGCATGGCAACTGCAGCTAGTTGGTTACTCACCCAAAGGATCTGCTCCTACAGATGCACCATGTGCCCTGTTCATGTGCCAAATCAGCCAGGAAACATCAGCTTAGGAGCTGGGCAGGAAAACCTTTCACTGTTTTCAGCAGGGAATCTGGTAAACTCTCCATTTCTAGGAAGCATTGAAACATTTCCTAAGCTTGCTATTCACAGAGTTTGTAGCCTTGAATCAGTCCAAGATGAAAACACTTAAATACATTAAAGTCTGCAGACCTGACAACCCAACTCTTGACTTGTAAAGAGACCTGTTCCCTTCCCCAAACCTGCACCCTCCCAAGTGATTTCCAAGTAGCTTGAAGCACAAGAAAAACAGACCTTTAACTACCACCTGTATAAAAACAAACCAGTTATTCTATAAAGAAGGGCAGGGTAGATAATAAATATGCTGTAACTTGGTTTAGAAAATGATCTACACTTATAAATATAGTATTTTTCTTCCATCTTTCCTTTGTGATAAGCAACTTGTTACTTCCCTAGAACTTGAAGAAATCTTCCCACACACTAAACTCTCTTTATAAACTGTCCCTGCAGCATCAGAATCCCTCTCCATACTTGTTCCCATATCCCTGCTTGGATTATTGGCAATGCTGCACAATTCCCTGATCATGATTATTTTGTTGTTTTTTAAATAAAATTCCCTGCTTCCTGCCCCCAAACCACATACCCCTGCCCCCCCCAATCACCAGTGATTCAGTTAGGACAGATTCACAGCATTGCTTACTCTGTGCACGTGAGAAAAAAAGGTTTAAGAGGCCACAGAAAATCTTTCACATCTGCCTTAGAAAACACACAGTCCCTGATGCAGAATCAGAAAGAAACAGGATCCTGTGGAAAACCACCCACCTCCGTTCTCATGTCAATATCCAGTGTATGCAGACAATAGGTTCTTTCCCTCCTTTTTTAAAAAAATAAAGCTGCTTTCCTCTATTCAGCATCCTGATCACATGAAAAATAAAGATGAGGGCCAAGGGAGTGGGGAAGAGGAGGTGGGAGAGTTTTCCACAAAGCTGGCACAGTACCGGGAGGAATCATCGCAGCACGAGCGCCCGACGGAGCCGTCGTTGGAAACCAGTTCTTTGGAGAAAAGATGCACAATCCCAAGAAAACAATGGAACTTTGCTGCTGTGCAGGGCTCCAGAGAGCTGGTTGGGATTAGGTGGTAGGTCAGCTGTTGTTCTGATGACAGGTTTTCCCAGGTGACGTTCAGCAGAAAAAAACTCCGCGGGTGGTGCCGAGTCGAGCTTGCCCGAGCTCCCCCCGTTGGCTGTGTCAGAGGCCTGTGTCTTGTCCACACACTGCTCCATCCGTTTCATTATCAAGTCCAGAAGTGTGTCCACAGCCTTCTCCACGTTCTGCCCAGTAGCTGCACTTGTTTCAAAGTAGGGTATGCTGTGGTGGGAAGGAAAAAGGTGGGCTGGAGAGACTGCTAAAGACAACCGAGACTCGGCTCGTTCCAATGCTATCAAGGGTGGGTTTACACAGAATCACAGAATCTTAGTGGCAAAGAAATGAAGGGGAAGGAATTCTGGTTTGTTGGGACTTTTCCTGTCCTGGCAGGAGTCCAACTCCTGCTCTGTGGCATGATGACATGAGCACAAAACCACCCCCTTAATTTACAAAATGTATCCTGGCATTCTGAGTTCAAATTGCAATGACCTCAGCACCAACCTTGGCTGAAAAAGTCTTTCAGGTAATCAGGGAAAAGACACATAAATTCAGTGCCACTGCAAACCTACAACCTGACCAAAATCTCCAGGTGTGTCTCCACTTCCAAACCAACTTATAAAAATTGTTAGTTATTTAGTCCATGGCACTGAGTGTTCATCTGCCTCTGGTATGTTCTGTCCTGAACTCAGGACAAGCCAACATCCCAAGAAGGTGGTTTTCCAGGAGTAACAGTTCATTTCAGTCTTATACCACATTTACAACACTGATTAAATTTACCTTCTGTCACAATTTGCTTACCCATATTTGTCTGCCAGATCTTTTGCTTGCCTTTCATTCACCTCCCTTTGGTCTGATAAATCAGCTTTGTTCCCAATTAGGACTATATCTGGATTCTCACAATATGCATTGGCTTGGAGCTGACCTGGGAGCAAAAACAAACACAAGTTAAGACCAAGACTGTTGGCAAAATAATTCCAAATACTTCTCTTGCTCCCCACCTCAAAACATCCTAGACTAACCAGCCAACCACTTTGTGCCAACCATGTTCTCCTTGTTACTTGCTCAGGGGATTTTTTTCCAAAGTAGGAAGTAGAATGGAAGCAGAAAATGATTTCCAGTCTTTATTTTCCCAACACACAACAGGTCTTCAATGCCACAGGGCATTAGCAGAGGGGAACCTCCATCAGCCAAAGCTTTTGTTCTGGAAGACTCTTCAGGACATGCTGGAAGTCCAACCAACATCCCTCTGTCATCTGCAAATGCAGCTCTTCACTAGTTTAGGGCAAAATCCTCAGGAGACTTTTTCTCTTGGATATACTCAATGGTTGAAATGCAATTTTATCCATGTGAAGATCCAGGCACAAGTAGTTGGCCACAGTAATTGTAAGTAATTGTGCCAAGCCAGTTACTTATCCTCCCTCAGTCCTGAGGGGACTGAGCTGAAGAGGTGCAGTGAACACAGAGCAAATGACTCAGCTGGGTGAGCAGTGGCAGACTGTGATGACAGGGATTGTTCAGTGGGAGACAGGGATCACTTCAGCTTGTTTGCTGGAAAACTGCCAGCTGGAAATGTACTGGCCTCTGTTCTTCCATCACTCTGAACACTCTCAGTTAGAAGCAAAGTGGAAGAATTTAACCTGTGTTTCAGTTTTAGTCTAGCCCTTGTCTGAAGGAAAACCACCTACAACAAGCACAATGCACTTTCAAACCAAACCTTAGTATTAATTTAAACCTCAAAGCAGACAAGAAGGAATCCCCTCCTGCTCTACAAATAGGAAACACACCATCAAGACACCACCAATATCCAAAGGACAGTTTCCATGCTCCTGTTTAGCACCTAAACCCAGGAAATGTCAAGTGCCATGAAGAGGCAACAGATTTATTAAAACTGTACCAAAACCTAAAGAAGCTCATCAAGCCCAAAAGAGCTGATCATGGAAAAAAAAATGAAGAGCAAGTATCTTTCTAACCTGGTAAAGCTTTCACCCCAAACTGCAGGCTGCAAGGACCCCACTTATTGCTGCACTTGTCACAGCTACTATCTCTGTGCATCTTCCAGCTCACAAACAATGACACACACAAAGCCCAGGAGCCCAAAACACACAAGAAAGCACCAAGTCGACCGATAAATGCAAACTCCAGTTGTACTTACTCATCCAATTTCTGACATTAAAGAAGCTCTGCTGGCTGGTGAGATCAAACATCAGCAGAAAGCCCATAGCATCCCTGAAAAATGCTGTGGTGAGGCTTCGAAACCTGAAGGTGGAAGGAAAAAAGAAGAGAACAGAGCTCTGTTAATACAGAGTGATCTCCAAGGGAAGCACTTTTCTGCCCAGCCTGAACTGAGGGAAGGGGGAAAGAGATGAAGTCAAGCTCTTCTGAATTGCTGAGGCCAAAATTCTCTTTCAAAAATACCTTGACACCTGAAGAGTCTGGAAGATTTAGTGGACATACATTCCCTGGGAAGGGAAAACAAATCCTTGACTTTCATTTCAGCTGTGATGCATCACACCAGTCAACACTTATTAATCAGTGTGTCAGTAATTTACCAAAGGAAGCTTATATGTGAAAACATAAACATTGTCAGTGACTAATCTGTTCGTTCAAATTCTGCCTGATTTAACTGAGAGTGAGACAGAGAAGGCTTGGTTAAAAGGAGGACCAAAAAGAGATACTGAAGCATTTAGTGCACCACAAATCCCAGGGAGAGAAATCGATTCCCCTGCCAACATCACACACACTTAAGTTGATGGATGTGCACTATTTAATATAAAGAAAACATGAAAGAGCAGGGGGCTGGTACAGGCCTTTGGAGAGTTTGCTGTGACCATCAGCTGAAAGGAAGTGACCTTTCTTTGGCACTCTGGAAGGGCCATGGTTCACAGCACCACAAAATCTAGCACAAACCAGCAGCAGCTCAAGTGGCCACTGATATTTTACACCATGCAAATGAAAAAATACCTCTTCCCAGAAATGTGTCAGATGCCTGGTGCTACCCCTGGGGTTTCTTTTCAGGAGGACAAAAGAAAGGAGCCTCAAAATGTTTCATCTCCTGTGGAGGTATACACACAAACTGTCTGGAAATGAAGAGATGCAGCTGCAAAATTCCAGCTTTCTCCTGCTTTTCATCCAGCCCCAACCCCTCCCACATGCTCTTTGCTCTGCTCACTCCAAAACCTGAGGTCTTTATCACGACTTTCCTTCCTCCCCACTGGGCAAAGGCTTCAGGCTGCTGCTTTTCACTCCCTATCACACAGCAAGCAGGCCTGAGTGGCATTTTCTTCCCTTGCTGACAGATGCCACCAGAAGTCACACCCAGGGCAACCTCACAGCTTGATGACAGTGAAAACCAGCTTCTGGAACTAGCCAGGGGGAGCTTAAGGAAGCAGCACCCACACTTCTCCCTTGAAAACAACCACAGTGTGACACACACCACATAGGGACAAGTCAAGGAGGTCTCTGGGAAGAACAAACCACTGTGCACACACAAGACAGGGGCACAACTGGTTAGATAATAGAATCCTTTTGCAGGAGGATTCTGGTCAACCATGAACTTCACAGAGGTCAACCCCATTAAGCTGCTGCTGCAAGGAAGGCAAACACAAGCAAAACCATCAAAGATAAGAAGCAATTCTTCCGTGCCACTCAGCTCTGTAAGACTTGAACAACAATTGCCCATCCCACATGCTTGCTGGTGGTGAGAGGCTGGAAGCAACCTGGGGCAGGACACAACAGAAAACTTGCTCCTCAGAGGAAAGTCTGGGGAAGCCCAGGCCTTGTCAGCTTGAGAAGACTTAAGGAAGACATGAGGATGCTCAGGACCTTGTCCACTTGCTCCAGGGCTTAACCACTCCCACAGCCAACACTTGTGTCCTTCTGCCTAGCTGCAATATCCTTGCTGCTTGTGACCCCTGCTCTGTGGCTGTGAGCCTGAGGAAAGCCTGGTTCCATCTTCTCAAAGAATCATTCTGCTTGGAAAAGACCTTTAAGATCAAGTCCAATCATGAACCCAGCTCTACTGAGTTCAGTGTTTGGCCCCCTCAGCCCTCACTGGTCATCACATGCCTCTGCCTCCTGATCTGTCCTCCCAGCACCCCGTGGGACTTGAGATTTTCAGTACCAAATATCTCACACTGGGGCTTTCAGGGGTGGAAACTGTTCCAGATGTGGTCTCCAAAGTGCTGCAGAAAGGGGAACAGCCCCCTCCCTCAGTCTGATGATGACATGCATCAGAACCTGCCCCACCACCCAGCCTAACAGAGACAGTGTGAAACAAGAACAAGCCACTTGGGTAGGTTACACAGCATCTTCCAGAGGAGATGAGGAACGTATTATGAAGCTAAAAGAACAGTACAAAACAAACCCAAAAAATGACTCAATAACCCAGAAGGCAGAGTGCTGCCAAGGCAGGGAGCAGACCATCTTCCAGCCCTGTTTCCTGAGATTCTGATCACCAAGTCAAACCAGTGCCAGAAAAAGACAGAAGACATTTTTCTTGTCCTAAAACACAAGGATTTCTGGTAATTTTTTCACCTGATGGTTTACCCAGAAATGTGAAAAGCTCAGAACCATTTTCCAGTGAGCAGAACTCTGTTACCTTTCCTGTCCAGCTGTGTCCCAGAGCTGGAGATGTACCTTGAAGGCTTTTCCTGGAGATCCATTTGGTCCTCTGCTGTTGTACACCTAAGGAGAGAGTCAAGTCAGCACAGCCATGCAGCTCATGTGGGGATCCAGCAGGTGGGTCACAGCCTGGTACATTTTGGGCAAGCAATGATGAGGAGTAACAGCTCAGCCCTGCAGTAAAAGCTGACTTGTCCCTCCAAAAGCCAGAGGGCTGCTTAGAATAGTATTTAAAAACCCAGGAGCCACATGAAACATCTACAAAAGCTGCACTTGAAAGGTAATTTGGCCCTATTTAGTACTTCAAATTAGATAGCAATTCTTTAAGGCTTGGCTGAGACTGTGCTGAGCAAGCTGTGTTCTGTTTCATTGCTGTGCTCACCAAGCTTACAGCTGGCTGACAGGATTCAGCACTATTAACCAAAGCTCTTTTTTTGTCATTAACTTCAGTTGGACATGAATGACTTCCTTACTAACTGCAATTGCAAACTCAGAGTGCTTTAAAAAAAATTAAGTAATCACCACCACCTTTTGCTGGGGCTCAACTCTTTATGAAACAGTACGAGTGTGTAAATTACCTGTTGCAGTAAGAGATAAAATAAGCATGAGCAGGTTTTGGTATCTGAGGTAATTTAGCAGATCCTCAGCAGTTTTAAAAGCAGGCAGTGATTGTCCTTGCATTCAGATCAAGAGAATATGGGCTTTATGGACATGTCTGTGTCCAGAGGCTGCACTGACCTTACCCAGGGAAGCAGAACACCTTCTCACCTGCCCCTCCTGGGCTGTGAAATACAGCAGTTAGTTGTCCTGCTCAACCAAGTTAGTATTAATGGATTAGATGACCTCTGGAGGTATATTCCAGCCTAGACTATTCTGTGATCCTCTGAACTTAATTTAAACTGTTGTCATTTTAACAGGCAGCTTCTGACTGCAAGGTGCCTTTCTTTCCTTTCTGGCCTGATCTGAAAACCAGAAAAGAATCAAGGGATCAACCACACCACTGCTGTGAATTAAACTGGTTTGCTGGAGCAGGTTCCTGTAACAGGATCCTGTAAATAAGAAATCTCAAGGGGAATTTTTTAATACTTACTTTTACACTACCAAAAAAAAACATATTTAACCTTTTGCATCTCTTTCTCAGAAGGCAGTTTATTAGACAGACCTTCAAGACACTGCAAAGCTGATAATTTCATGTAGTTTCTTCCACTCTTAGGAACTATGTTACACCAAAATGTCCAGTAATGGAAAATGACAAAAGAAACCTGTCTGCAACCTTTAGCAGAAAAGTTCAACCTGCTGGAAAGAACCAAGGAGCCTTGTTTAAAACATCTTAATGAGTGTCTGACCAGCCATGGAAAGAGTATTCTGGCAATTTGCACCTTCAGACATTTCCTTGCAATAAAACTGGGCTTTTCACCTTTTATTCTCATGCTATCAGTGCCAGCCCACAGGGCAGAGAAGGAACCAGGCTCCACTCCCACCTGAGCACCACATCTAACCAGCCTGAATTTGTGTGGTGCTGATGATGAGACAATAAACAGAGAACTCAGGTCCATGGTTCTTTTACTCAGGGGACCCCTGCATCCCCACCACAGCAAAGCTGAGCTCCACAAACACTGGCAGACATCAAAAAGTTGCCAGGGAAGATGAAGGTGAATAGGGAAGTGTTGCTCATTCCAGGGAAATAACAATTAAATGCAGTTTAAAAGAATCTAATTTAAAGAGGTCTCCATCTTGCAGCTGGACAAGTCCTTACATGTCTTTTTATTAGGGAAATGACTAATAACTGCCCAGGGTCTAACATCTTGGATTTATTATGGGTTTACTGTTGAGGCCAGCTAGAGGGATTCCTATTAGAAAGCTGAATTAGTCCCCTATATTCAGCCTGCATCAGTTGTCAGGATCTGTGAGCAGACACATTAGTCACATGTCATTAAAACAAAGCAAACGTGCTCTCATATCCATCAAAAGCATCTGGCTGACACTGTGGAAGCCTCCTCCTCGTGTATTTCCCAACAGGAAACAAAAGCCTGGCAGAGCAGGCTAAGCAGCACTTCCACCCTTTAGTTTCTATCTAAATTAGGAGTTTGGGGGCCAGAGCTTTTTCTAGTCCTAACCACACTTCATTCACAAGCCCCATGGAAACCTGCCCATGGAAAAACCCTTTTCCACCAACACCCAACAAAACCATTTCACGCTCCAACCCCAGGATAAGCATTTCTCCCTTTTATCCAGTTCCTAACTCTGAAATGTTTAGAAAAGCATTCTGAACAGATTCTATACCCTGCAGTAAGAGAGCCAGCAGACATTTCCACTACACAATTCTCAGCCTGAAGGAATCCAGAAGCAAGAAGGTGGCACAGACAACTCACCACTCGCTTTTCCCGGAAGTCTATCCCGACTGTCGTGATGAATTTTGGATTAAATTTGTTATCAGTGTATCTGTACAGGAACGTTGTTTTTCCAACCCCAGAGTCTCCAAGGGCCAGGAGTTTGATCAGATAATCATAGTCTCCATCAGTCATAGTGCTAATTTTTAGGAACCTATGTAGAGAGAAGAAAAGCCATTGATGTAATGATAACAAACCCCCTTTCTGTTCGGTTTTGCCTCATTTCTAGTCTTAGAAGGATTTGAGTTTGGGACAGAGAGATTCTTTGTGTTCTGAGGATAACAATAAGGTAGGAAACCTAGGGCTAAATCCTCTGCTTAAAATGTCTTATTATGAGTTTAAAAAAAAAATAAGGGTGGCAGAAACAACCATGAAAAGCAAACTTGGCCATGGCAAGGAGAACTCTCAGGGCTCCAGCTCTAACCACTGTTACATGACACTCTCAGGCCTATACATTTTTATCTTGAAATATTTTTTCTCCTGAAGAGAACTCATTAAAAAGCAGAGCTGCTGTTAATAAAAGGAGAGAGCTCGAGTGCAGTTTCCTCTCCAGTATAACCAGCTAAACCCACAGCTGCCTTGTTCTGTGAAGCACAAAACCAAACCCACACCCTCATCAAACGCTCCAGACACTAATTGGTGGGAAGAAGAAAGAAAAGCAGATGGCAAGCCCACTGTCCTGGTTCAGTTGCTGCTGTGACAGCCAGTGGTGGCATCTCCTGCAGCTCAGGAAGCCACCAGAGAGTGGCCACCATCCAGAGAATGGCCTTGACAGCAGTTGTAGGCTGTTTGATAAGCACTGGAGCCAAGCCTACCTCATTAAGCACTTGCAAAACAAATATATGCATCAGAAAGCAACATGAATTTGCAGGAAGAGGAAGATCTTTATCCTTTCCTGTATTTACCCTGCCAGTAATGGTTACTTCTCTCTACAGGAGAAGGAAAGGGCACCTATGTAAGAAATAGACCAAGAAAGTATTTATTTACTTGTACAAACTGCCCTGATGATGAGAAAATTGGACTCTCATGAAACACCACCTGGTTATATCCTCTCTTACATTGTTCTCAACGTAATTTTCAGCCTTCTCTTTTTTCCCCAACATTTTTTAATCCCTAGCATGGAGGGAGAGCTGTTCCATTTGGATCTGTACACTGAGACTAGTTACTGTGGTATCAGAGTAGGAGACCCTGGCTCATATCCCATCCATAAATTACTGCTTGTTTCAGCACAAGACCTGAATTTCCATCAGAATAAAACCTACCTTTCTGAGCGGCTAAATTAGCAAATACTGATCTGCTTTGACTAAAAGAATGACTTAAGCCCATTCTGATTATCCTGCATTTCAGCAGCTTTAAGGGGAAAAAAAGCTGGCTGCATGCTGAGCAGTTTGATTGTAGGAGAATGATACCTTTGACAGTCAGAGCCACTCAGAGAGGTGGGACAAGGTTTTGAGAAATTCATCTTTTGATGATACAGGTCTAAAAAATCTAGAGAAAAAGGCCCCTGGTCTGACAGCCCTGCTCTGCCTGTGCTTGGTACCAACACAGACACTTCACCAGCATCAACTCAAGGCCTTTAATCCTTTCCAGAATATCCCAGGTTTACCACAAGGAATTTCTCCCCCAGAAGTCAGAGGATTATCAAAGTATTTCTGATCAATGCCATCACTGTTCTTTGAGCATTTCACTCAACAAATCTGAAAGCTACTGTGGGAAATGATTCTCCCCCAAATGCCTGAGTGGCAATACAAAGTGTTCATGTGGGATTAGACACTGCTTCCATATATCCATGTTCTCTGGGAGCTGAAGTTCAGCATCTCCTTGCTATGCAAACGTGTCAAGCACAATATTCAGAATTTACCAGCCCTGCAAATGCTGAGCAAAATACCCATCAGACTGGGATGATTAAACCCCTGTTTTTGTAAACCTGTCACGAGCAGGCAGTTTGTTCTCCTATGCTGCTCTCTCTCCCAGCTGCTTTTTCCAGAAATTCCTGCCTGTTGGCAGCCCAGGCTCCACACACATTGTAGCCTCTCCCAGCCTGGCACTAGCCAAGGGGTCACCCCAGCTCAGAGGCAGCCTGGGAACTGCTCTGACTTTACTCTCCTCATTCTCTGCACCACCTAGGAAAATAAAATGGTAATTAGTTGGATAAAGGGATTCATTCCTTCAGATTTTCACCTGAAGCCATCAGTTTTCCCCCAGCTTGACCAGCTAGGTGAGGGAGACAGGATGAGCATGGTTCCCAAAAACATGGATATGAGGACAATTTCAGAGCCCAGACAGCTCCATGGCCATGATTCCTTTACCACTTCCAAAGTGCTGGAATGCAGCAAACTCAGCTCCTGTTCCACAGGAGATTTTTGCATTCAGATTTTCATTTCATTTAGAATGAAAGAGTTACAATTACTACTAATAATTACTCTGAGCTAAACGTTGTCTATAATGACTGGGTTTGAAAACTCTTGACTGTTTCCCTGTGTTCCACATGACAAATATTAACACAAATAGGACCAACACCTGAAGTCTAAAAATCAAACCACCTAAGATCTGAAACAAAGGAAAGTGCTGCAGGGGAGGAGGTTTCAAAAAAAACCCAAAACAACCCCACTTTATTTCAAGGTAATTTCTTCTGGCAAAAATGTGAAAAACACTTTGGAGTTTTCTCTGAAGAGGTTATTAACAAGGCATTGTAATTAAAGTGCCATAGACCTCATTCAACTCTAATGGCTCGATATATCAAGTTACTGGTGAGCAACAACCCTGGGCTGTAACCCAGGTGTCTTCTGCTGCTAAACCAGGGCAACTCGACTCACAGTCTTCTATGATGACATTCCAAACCCAGCCCTGTGCCTGGAACCTGAGCTTTCAAGTCCTCACCATCCTGACTTGGAAGTTTTCACACCAGTGTCTCCACCACAGCCCAGCAGCAGCCAGGACCAGCCAGGTCTCCCTCACAGGGTCAACCTGCAAGCTCCCACACATCCCCAAACCTAATTTCTGCTCATCTAACCCAATCTCACCCCCCAGTTCTGAAGCTCCTGCTGTCTCCTTAATGCCACGTGACCAGTGAAGCTTTTCCACAAGCCAAACAGGCCTCCTGACCATCCTTCCCAACCCTCCCTGCCAACGTGGCCACCAGCCAGAGGATGATGGATGTGACGTTTGGATGCTGTTCTCCCAGGCTGTGCATCTAGACAGAGCCTGATTTGAAAAACACTTTTCTGCTTTCTTGGCAGACAAGATTCCCATCTAGACCAGATGCAGCATCTTGTATCTTGATTGATTATTTTGTTCCTCCCCCTATTTAATGTTCTCTAACGACAGGGTGAGAGATCATTTAAAATCTGGCACTTGTCAGCAGATACTCCAGAGAACATTTTCTCGACAGAGAGAGATGGCTTCACAGAAACCAATCAAACCTTGAGACACACAGTTACAGCCTTCAGGGAGAGGAAAATCTACTCCCCAGGCTTCATGCCTTTGCTCTGTGGCTCGTGCTGCTTCACAACACCGGCCCCCAGTACAGGGAAAGGGGCATGGAGGAGAAAAGTTAGGAGTCTGATTTTCTTCTTCCATCCATTGTGATGGAAGATTTTTGGCTGGGAAAAAAGCCTGCAGAAAAATGGTTTCAATTCAGAAACTCTCCTGTCAAGATGTTTACATAGAATCATGGAATGGTTTAGATTGGAAAGGACATGAATGTTCACCTCATTCCAACCCTCCTGCATGGGACACCTCCCACCAGCCCAGGCTGCTCCAAGCCCCATCCAACCTGCCCTTCAACACTGCCAGGGATGGGGCAGCCACAGCTTCCCTGGGCAACCTGGGCCAGGCTCTCACCACCCTCACACCAAAGAATTTCCTCCTCATGTCTCACCTCAATCTCCCCTCTTCCAGTTTTCATCCATCCCTCTCATCCCAACCCTCCCTGCCCTTGTCCCAAGTCCCTCCCCAGCTTTCCTGGAGCCCCTTCAGGCACTGGAAGCTGCTCTAAGGTCTCCCTGGAGCCTTCTCTTCTCCAGGCTGAACACCCCAACTCTCCCAGCCTGGCTCCAGAGCAGAGCTGCTCCAGCCCTCCCAGGATCTCCATGGCCTCCTCTGGACTTTATCCAGCAGCTCCATGTCCTTCTTATGTTGGGGGTCCAGAACTGGATAAGTTCTCCAGGTAGGGTCTCAGCAGAGCTGAGTAAAGGGCCAGAATCACCTCCCTTGACCTTCTGGCCACACAGCCCAGGATACAGTTGGGTTTGGGGCTAAAAAAACTATTGATCTAAACCTCTGATGAACCTAACCTAAGAACATAGTCTGTTAGTTATCATTTTAGCCTATCAGAATTGGAAAAGATTGAAGCATTTTTCAACTTTTATATTTCAAACTTTGCAGATCTATAAATTGTAGAAGACCTCCCTAATCAACCTGCTGGAATTCCTGGGAACACATTTTCTCATTAATAGAGTTGCTCCAAGGAATTCAGCAATTATGTAAGTACCAATTGGAATATCATAAGGAAAAGTTACATGTGCAACAAGAGAAGAAAGCAGGGCAAGAAAATCAGATTTGATTTCCCTTGACACACTACTAGTTAAAAGCTGAACAAACAAAATGGTTGTATAAATAGCATTAGCTCTAGAAAATGCAGGGCATAAAATCACAGTGCACATATTGTACCAGCAGCTGGTCAGCCAGAGATTTGTTCCTTCTGCAGCAAAATAAATCAGCACCACTACTATTCATCCAAGTTTGGTTGTTTGTCTTTTTTAAATAAATAAAAAATGAAAGGACCACAACAAAATCAGCTCTGTCCTGAGGGCCACCTGAGGGGGGGGCTGTAGCAGAGGCACAGCACACACACAGGAACCATCACTTACTCAACTCAGCAATTCTCCTTCTGACAACCTGTGGCACCCAGCCATGTCCTTAGCTGCTACAGCTTTGATGTCCAGATAAAATGCCATGCTGTTCCAAGAGCCACAGCCTGAGAGGCCCAAGAGCAGCAAAACACCTACAAACTGACCCCATTCAACTTTCTCTGGTGCCCTCATGGCCCAGGTCATGGGATGAGACATGGTTAAATGCAGGCAAAGGTGTTGCAAGATCCCCCACAATGACTGTGGCACCATCCTTTCACTCCA